TTTCTTGATCTTGTTTATATTCTTCTTCTCTCTTTCTATCTTCTTCTTCTCTTTCTTTAAGCTGTTTTTCATACTGTATTCTCTGATCTTCAATCTCTCTCTTCATCTCCTCTATTGTTTGATCATATTCATTTCTTTGCTGTTTCTCTTCTTCTGATTGTTTCTGATCCTCCGTCTCTCGTTTCTTCTGCTCTGATTTTTCTTTCTCCTCAAACTCTCTCCTGAGTGTTTCCTCTTGTTCTCTGACCTTGTTATTCAGTCTCTCTCTTTCCTCTTCTGCCCTTTGCTTCTTCTCCCCCTTTGCCCTTTGTTTCTTCTCTTCCAGTCTCTCTCCCATCCTTTTGATTTCCATGTCATATTTGGCTTTTAATTCTTCAACTTGAAACAGATTTGTTCTTTTATTCTCTTCTAGCATTTCCATTTTCTGTTCAATCGCTCCCTTTTCAAACATCTCATTAATGAAGTATCGGCCATGATTCATCTCTTCTATCATATTTAACAGCTGAGTAACTTGTGTCTGATCTTGTGTCTCTGTGTTGTTAAAAGCCAGGAATCTGTTTCCACAATCACTGATCAGTGTCTTGAGTTCAGCATCTTTACTTTTCTCTACATATTGCTCCATTGTTTGTCCTCTCAGATCATCTCCTCTAGTGAAGAGAACAATGCAGAAATCTGCTGCTTTTGAGCTAAAGATCATCTTGATCATGTCTAAAGTGTCTTTCTCTTCTGGAGTGATTTTTTCCACGCTCAGCACAATGATGAACGCATGTGGTCCAGGTGCTGACAGTGAAATACACTTCATTATTTCTTCCTGCACTTGTTCATTTGTCAGTGAGGGGTTAAAGAGTCCTGGAGTATCAATAACAGCTACTGATCGACCATCAACTTCACCAACTCTCTTCTGACAAACAGTGGTCACCAAACGTGAACTGGCTTCACTGTGAAACTCTTTTGTTCTGAGGATAGTGTTTCCTGTTGCAGACTTTCCACTTCCTGTCCTCCCAAACAGCAAGATTCTCAAACATCCTGAATCTGATGATGAATCTTCTTCATCTGAAAATGACAATAGAAATTAGATATTAGGAATTGATTGAGTGTTAAATGAGTGGTAACTATTTGCAGCAGTAAATCAGTGGGTGGGGTGGGGGGGTCTCCTCCCCTCATTCATTATACAGGTCTCTTTCCACCCCCCATACTGTATTATCTTAATATTTCCTGTGTTCCTGTGTTTATAGTAATAATAATAATAATAATAATAATGAAATATTACATAAAAAAAAAAATTCTTAAATACTAAAAATAAATAAAAGATCATTAAAATTATAGATCAAAATAATAAAAAAATATACAAATGCAGATTAATTTTCACAGCCTTATTTGCTCATATTTACCAAGGGGGTTTGTAATTCTGACCTTTAACGTATATCATAACATAATGTTTATTTAATGTTTCAGTCATTTACATCAGTGCTAGCAAAACTTTTTTAATTTCTAAAAATACATGCTGATTTGTATAAACTAATATACCTTCAACATAACATGAAGCATGAAATTTTGTTTTATTATATACGATAAGGTGTGCGTGTACAGTGTATATATATATATATATATATATATATATATATATATATATATATATACAGTGCATTCAGAAAGTATTCAGACCCCCTTCATGTTTTCAATTTTGTTATGCTGGAGCCTGATACTACAATTGTTTAAATTAATGTTTTTCTCTCATTAATTTACACTCCATACCTCATAGTGACAAAGTGAAAACTGAATTTTAGAAATTTCTGTAAATTTATTAAAAAGAAAAAACTGAAATATCACATTTACATAAGTATTCAGTAAAGCACCTTTGGCAGCAATTGCAGCCTCGAGTCTTTTTGGGTATGATGCAACAAGCTTTGCACACCTGGATTGGAGGATTTTCTGCCATTCTTCTTTTCAAATCCTCTCAAGCTCGGTCAGGTTGGATGGGGACCGTCGGCCAGCCATTTTCAGGTCTCTCCAGAGATGTTCGATAGGGTTCAAGTCAGGGCTCTGGCTGGGCCACTCTAGGACATTCACAGAGTTGTCCCTAAACCACTCCTGTGTTGCCTTGGCTGTGTGCTTAGGGTCACTGTCATGTTGGAAGGTGAACCTTCTGACCAGTCTGAGGTTCTGAATGCTCTGCACTGGGTTTTCATTAAGGCTATCTCAATATTTTGGTGCATTGAGCTTGTCTTCTACTCTGACGAGTCCCTCAGGCCCTGCTGCTGAAAAACAGCCCCACAGCATGAGGCTGCTACTAGCACACTTTACTTTTGGGATGGTACTCTGCAGGTGATGAGCAGAGCTGGTTTTCTTCAAACATGATGGTTCATCAGACCAGAGAATCTTGTTTCTTAGAGTCTGAGGTTCCTTTAGGTGCTGTTTTGCAAATTCCAAGTGTGTTTTTATGCGTCTTCACTGAAGAGAGGATTGAGATTGGCCACACCGCCATAAAGCCCAGATCAGTGCAGTGATGTTTGTCCTTCTGTAGGTTTCTCCCATCTCCACATATGACCATGGAGCTCAACTAGAGTGACCATCAGCTTCTTGGTCACCAATCTAGACAAGGCTCTTCTCCATCAATTGCTCAGTTTGGCTGGGCAACCAGCTCTGGAAAGAGTCATGGTTGTGCCAAACTTCTTCCATTTGCAAATTATGGAAGCCACTGTGCTCTTGGGAACTTTCAGTGCAGCAGAATTTTTTTCGTAGCCTTCCCCAGATCTGTGCCTCAATACAATCTTGTCTCTGAGCTCTGCAGGCAGTTCCTTTGACCTCATGGCTTGGTTTTCACTCTGATATGCATTGTCAGCTGAGAGGTGTGTGCCTTTCCAAATCATGTCATCAATTTAATTTACCACATCTTAGCAATGGTCAAGAGAAATGGGAGGCACCTGAGCTAAATTTCAAGTGTTGTTGCAAAGGGTCTGAATACTTATGTAAATGTGATGTTTCAGTTTTTTCTTTTTAATAAATTTACAGGCATTTCTAAAATTATAATATTATTAAAATTATAAAATTAAATAATTATAATTATAATTATTTTTCACTTAGTCATTATGAGGTATGGAGTGTAGATTAATGAGAAAAAAATGAATTTAAACAAGTGTAGTATCAGGCTGCAACATAACAAAATTGAAAAACGTGAAGGAGGTCTGAATACGTTCTGACCCCACCTACAATCCCTGCCGGTACCAAGACTCAAACCCGCAACCTTTGGGTTACAAGTTCCAGGAAACAGAACATTGAACTGCTTTCATTGATTCAACGTAACTAACACATGACTACGACAATATATGGTTTATCTTATCTTCTTATTATAGTTCTTCATATTATATAGTTCTTTTTATTCTTCTTATTATAATTCTCATTATAATAAAGCATATTTATAATGCAATACTAAATTTATAATGCAATGCTAAGTGAGTTTGGAGTAATAATGTCTCAGGTTACGCATGTAACCATGGTTCCCTGAGAACAGGGAACAAGACGCTGCTTCCTCTAGAGGGCGCTAGGGGAACGCCTTCAGCGTGACCGGTGTCTGAAGCATGAAATAAAAAATCGACAATGAACTTGACATTGGCAGGCGGGAGCCTATGACGTAAACAATAAAGCGAATGCGGGTATAAAAGAGAACCTGCGGAAAACTTATTTGTCTGAAGGAGACGCAGGCAGGAATGCCGAGGCATGGCAATGAGACATGCGTAACCTGAGACATTCCCTTTCGAAAGGGAACTCAACGCTGCGTCCTCTAGAAGGCGCTAGGGGAACGGTCTACCCACGCCGCCATGCTGAGGGATGAGTGCCCAAAAATGGATTCCTTAAGTCAAAGACTCAAGGAACACCATCCCTGCCCCAGCCAGATCGCTTCTGCTAGGACCCGAGCCACAACCTCTACAGGCAGGCTCAAAAACTCGCCAGCGCTCTCCTACCAAAGTCGGAACTCTAAGAGTGGAGGTCTCAGCATACCGACTCTCTAGAATGAGAGGAGACCTGGCTACACTCAACGCCAGGGTCAGTTAGTGAGGCTCAAGAGCCTGCACATTAATACTGCCTAAACGGAGCTATGCAAAGTGGAGTCTTCAGCAGAATGACTCTCTTAAATGAGAGGAAGCCTAACAACACTCA